ACATCAGTAGAGAACCACTAGAAATTTAAGCCAAATTCAGAAGAGGATGTGGAAAAAAGGCAATCTACTCGGCAATGCCATCATTTCTGATGTCAGATGGATCTTATGCTCCACAAAGTTGAATGCCTTTGTATAATCAACAATACACAAGTAAACATGTTCCTTGGCATTCAACTTTGTGGAGCACAACAAATTATGAACAAACATTGCAAACAATTGGAATTATAGAACACTTAATTGTGCCTACGAGGAACCTGTACATAGATTGAGACAGTGGTTCAAACAGAACAAGGAGATACTGCATGTTTTAAAATCAGGGAAATGTGTGTCAGTATTGTATCCCTTCTCTATATTTACTCAAGTCTGTATGTTGAGCAAATAATCCAAGAAACTGGACTATATGAAGAAGAATGTAACTTCAGAATTCAAGGAGGACGTTAACAACCCGTAATGTACAAATGACCTAACCTTGCTAAAAGTGAAGAGGACTTGAAGCACATACTGATGAAAATCAAAGGCTGCATCCTTCAGTGTAGATTACACTTGAACATAAACCAGAAATCCTTTAACTGGACTTGGCATTTAATTCCTGACAGCTGTCTCCATGGGCAGTGATTGTGGATCTAAGTAAAACGAATTTTGTGACAAGACTTTCTGATGATGATGGTGGTGTTGGCAAAGTATATTAAATATATCACTGCCAAAAGAATGGACAGTTTTTTATTGGAAGTACAGCCAGAGTGCTCATACTTGGGCATGTTATCCAGTAGGTCCAGTTCATGGAGAAGGACATATGTTGTGCTTGGTAAAGCAAAAGATGGGCAGAAAAGAGGAAAACCTTGCATCAGATAAATTCACCCGGTGAATATGACTATAGCCTCAAGAACCACAGTGGTGTGAGGATGACTTCAACTGGCCTACTTTGTTTTGTTCTAAATGGGGGAGGCCATCTAACAACAAACATCACGGGAATATTTTCTTCAATGGGACTCCACGTTGAGCTGCTAACCACTAAGTCAGCAGTTCAAAACTACCAGCAGCAATGAGAGAGACAGTTGAAATTTTCTACTCCTGTAACGAGTTACAGTCTCAGAGCTACAGGAGCAGCTCTACTTTGTCTTACAAGGTTTCTGTGAGTCAGAGTTGACTCATTGGCAGTAAGTTTAGTTTTTACTAAATATAAACAATAACCAAAATTATATCCTTGTCATATAATACAGAAAGGTCTCCATTATTAATGTGTGTAACATATTAGTAACTAAGTTCTATCCTGCTCATTAAAGTATGATGTGGCATCAATTCATGAGTTAAGATTCTTTTTAATCTATAATTAAAAATAAAATAGAAATTATCTTACAGTTTTGTACTATGTGGAATAAAATACGGGCATTTTTCTTTTTCCTTTGCATTTCCAGTATTTCTTTGTTTCTTGTTTATTTTCATATATTGTCTTTTAAACTCTTTATTTTAGGGTCTAGGAAAAACTATTCAAGCTATTGCATTCCTGGCATACCTTTATCAGGAGGGTAACAAAGGTCCACATTTGATCGTTGTTCCAGCATCAACTATAGGTTTGTAATGCCAAAGTAAACCATGTTTGAGTTGATAGAAGAAAAATGCTGGGTGTACAGTTTCTTAAGTATAATTGTGGAGCTGGGCATTAATTTCTGTGGTATCTTTATACTACCCGCCCCCCCTCACACACACACACACTTTGTGTATGAGTATATATGTATATTTGATTGTATTGTCAATTTTTAAAAGAAATCAAATCTTGATTTACTATTCCATTATTATAGATCAAGAGTAATAACAATGTATTTTTATATTCTTAATACCTTAAAGTGATTGCTAAATAACTAAGAGAAAGGAACTTTTAAAATTAATAAACATTTATTGAGTCAGAAAGTATGTAATTAATCCCTGCTTCGTTTGCTTTTTCATTCATTTTTAGTTGATTGAATTTGGAAGATAGAGTAAGAGTGTACCTATGAATCTAAGAGGAAAAAACATTGTTTTGAATTAATAAATAGGTTAGATATAAAGGTTGATTCTCTGCTGTTCATTTGGATACCCCCTCAGAACCTCAGAAGTTATTTTATTCATGAGTAATAAATAGATTATGAGCAGGGCCTGTGATAAAAATCATCCTATGCTATTTTATCCTCGAAAAAAAATTTTTATAAGTAGAGCTTATTTATGTTAATCCGCACATACGCTATTAAATGCAAATAATATATCTCTTGTTTCATAGATAACTGGTTAAGGGAAGTTAATCTTTGGTGCTCCACTTTAAACGTGCTTTGTTACTATGGTAAGAATATGTCTAATTGCTTTTAATCATGGAAGTGTCTTTAAAACCCTAAAACACAGCAAAAGACAGTAAATACACCATTATGTCTATATTCAAATTCTAGGCTCTCAAGAAGAACGTAAACAAATTAGATACAATATTCATAGTCGATATGAAGAGTATAATGTAATTGTGACCACGTAAGTATTAATTCTTTTAATGGAAAATAAAATGTGTGTTGCCTCCCAATTAAACAAGTGTATATAATAGTAATATTAAGAAAGTTGTTAACATGACTTGTACAGCACAAGAAATGGAATGAGTTACGTAGAGAAGCCGTGATGGTGTAACGGGTTGTGGATTAGCATGCTAATTTCCAGATGAGCAGTTTCAATCTACCAGGTGCTCTGAGGAAGAAAGATAAAGTTTCCTCCTCTGGTGACGATATACAGCCTCAGAAACGCACAGGAGCAGTTCCACTCTGTCCTATAGGGTAGCTATGACTCAGAATCTACTCAATGACATGGCGTTTGAGGTTAAAGCTTATTTTTAGTTCACTGTACAGCCTAGATAAAAGGTGTACTAGTGCCTCAGTTCATTGGCATTGATACGAAATTTCTGCCCACTTGATTGAAAGTTCAGACTTTTAATGTTTTCTCAGTAAAAGTAAACTATAAGATACTCTCACAACATGATTTATCATATTTATAACCTGAAAATACTTATTAGAAATATATTAAATTGTATTCTCCCGGAGAAAAATTTGAGTTAGGACAGAGGGCTGAAAAATACAACACTGAATAAGATAACTTTATTATTTTGTATAAATATCTGGCAGAGAACATAATGCTCTGTCTGCTCTAGTTTGATGCAGTTGTATAATGTAACAAATATTTCTTAACTCTTTGTCTTTTTACCCCCAGTTTCTTAAAATACAATGATTCATGAAACAAATCGTGTGATAAAACCAAACCTGTTGGCATCGTGTCAATTCTAATTTGTAGCAACCCTTTGTAGGGGTTCTGACTCTAAATCTTTTTTTTTTTTTAATTTATTTGAGACTAAATCTTTGAGAGCAGGCAGCCTTCTCTTTGCCCTGTGGCACGGCTAGTGTGTATGAACTGTCAACCTTAGAGGTAGCAGCCCAAAACTTAAACCACAGTGCCCCCAAGGCTCCTTCAACTGTGTAATAGCAGATTGTATATCAAGTTGTCCTTTTCTTGAGTATATAGACATTAATCTTCTTGGGTTGTAATATTTCAATTTTATATTAGTTTCAATTTACTGGTTCATTACTTGGTTACATGTATATTAGTAATTACATGAGCACCTACTGTGTCTAGTACCACTCTTTAGATACTGGCTAGTAGAAATTAATAAACAAAAATGATTGTGAAAAGAAACCATTCAATCTTACTATTCTCAACACTTGAAAGAGTAAGTTTATAGAGATTTTGTTTTTCTTTGACGATAGGTATAACTGTGCAATCAGCAGTTCCGATGACCGTAGTCTCTTTCGACGGCTGAAACTCAATTATGCAATTTTTGATGAGGGCCATATGCTGAAAAACATGGGCTCAATCCGCTACCAGCACCTTATGACAATTAATGTAAGAGCATGTTTTTAATTTCTGTCCGAATTATCAACTATTTATATGATTCTATATCAGAGCTTAGCAAACTTTATATAAAGAGCCCATAAACATGTACTTAACATTTTGTAGGTCATACTGACTCAATCATAGGAGGGGGGTACCCCATAAAAACCAAATCCACTCCCCACCACCCAACTGTGTATTTAAAATTTTTTTTACAAAACCTTATCACCTTCAAAGTACTCTCCATTACACGTAATTGATTTGTCAAGGCTGCAATTCCATTCTTGGAAACATTTTTCAAACTCATCTGTTTAGATGGCTGATAGAAACTTCCTCATTTTTTTCTTCACCTCTTCTACATCTACAAATTACTGTCCTTTTATGTCGCTTCATTCAAGGAAACAAAAACAAGTCTCACAGAGCAAGGTCAGGTGAGTAAGGTGCATGGGGCAAGAGAGGCATGATGTTTTTTGCCAAAAATTGACACACTGAGATGGCTGTGTGATGGCAAAACCAGTTCCCCGTTTGCCACAAATCCAGGCCTTTTTTGTTGCACACTGTTATGTAATCTTTTCAGAACATCTAAACAGAAGCCTTGATTAACAAGTCTGACCTGGTGGAAGAAATTCCAATTATACTACTTTTCGACATTTTCCTCCATTCAGGAACTTGACAGACATCCAAAACGAAGTTTGTCATCAATTGACATTTAACTTTTTTGAACCGAGAAAACCACTCGTACACTTGAGTTTATCCCATAGTGCATTCTTTGTAAGCTGTGTTCAACATCACAACAGTTTCTGCTGCATTTTCCCAAGCAGGAAAGAAAATTCGCAACGGCACACTATTCTAAAAAAACGAGGTTCCAGTGAAATTTTTTTTACGAAAAAATTCATTGTGACTAGAGAGAACCCAGGCAATGCCCCTGGGTACACTAACTCAGAGAGAGTTGTTTGATGCTTGCATAGTGGGGAAAATGCATATTACAAAAGCTCCACCCCACGCAATTTCGGTTTTTTTGGGTACCCCCTTGTAGATGTGCACACACACATTTTAACAACTGTTCTAAATGTAAATCCTCTCTTACCTCCTGAACCATTGTTTGTCAATCACTAGTTCATATGAAAACCTTAATAAATATCAGATATTCTTTGATTACATGTAAAAGTGATATTGAAATACAAGTTAACTACTTGTAAAATGAAATCAGTAGTTTTGCACATTGTTTCTAAAGTACAGTAAATCATAGATGCTAATTGTTGAAACTTTTACTACTAACCTTTTATCACTAAAAAGTTAATTAGTAATTTATTTTTATGGGGAGTTTAAACACAAAAGTGACTTTTGCTTTCTTTTTTAAGCTCATCTAAATTTTACCTTCATTTACAGGCAAACAACCGTTTGCTGCTCACAGGCACACCTGTACAGAATAATTTGTTAGAACTCATGTCTCTGTTGAATTTCGTTATGCCACACATGTTCAGTAGCAGCACCAGTGAAATACGAAGAATGTTTTCTTCTAAGACAGTAAGCAAACATATATTTTCTTCAAAATGTACTTTGTTTTTATATGAACCATTATTGTATTGGTCTTATTTTTTTATGGTTTACATACTCTTATATAAAGTCAATTTAACTAATTCATATTTTTATACTTGAGTGAGTTGGAAAGTTGGACAAAATGTAATTTTTTAAAATCAAAAGATCATTTTATTGGGAGCTCTTCTAACACTTATTAAAATCCATATATCAATTTGTACACATAATTTGTACACATTTTGCCAACCTTATGTAGACATTTTCTATTTAGCCCTTGGTATCAGTCCTCACCCCTACCCCAGCGCCCCCTTGCCACGATCTGGCATGACCCCTTGCTAGATTATAAATTAATATTTTTTCTTTCTTTTAAATCATTTTATTGGGATTTGTAGAACTCTTACCACAATCCATTGTGTCAAGCACATTTGTACATTTGTTGCCATCATCATTCTCAAAACATTTGCTTTCTACTTGAGCCCTTGGTATCAACCCATTTTTCCTCTCCCTCCTTCCCGCACTTTCCCTCCCTCCCTTACCCTTGATAATTTATAAATGATTATTATTATTTTGTCATGTCTTACACTCTCTGATGTCTCCCTTCACCCACTTTTCTGTTGTCCATCCCACAGGGAGGGGGTTATATGTAGATCATTGTGATCAGTTCCCTCTTTCTCCCCCACGTTCCCCTTACCCTCCTGGTATCTCTACTCTCATTATTGGTCCTGAGGGGTTTATCTGTCCTGGATTCCCCGTGTTTCCAGCTCTGATCTGTCAATGCTCTGGTCTAGCCAGATTTGCAAGGTAGAATTGGGGTCATGATGGGGGTGGGGGGTATCACGGAATTAGACGAAAGTTGTATGTTTCATCGGTGCTTTACTGCACCCTGACTGGCTCCTCCAAAATTAATATTATTTCCATGTCTCACACTGACCACTGTCTCCCTTCCCTCTTGGTTTCTCTTGTTCTTCCACCCGGAGGCGGGTGTGTGTGGTTATGTTCCACTCATTGTGATCAGTTTCCCCCTTCTTCCCTCCTCTCCTTTTGGTGTCGCTATTCCCATTCCTATTCCTGAATTTCATGTGTTGTGAGCTTTATCTCTTACACTGTGGACATGACTCTAGTTCAGTCCGGAGTGGGAAGCAGCACTGGGGTCATGACAGTGGGGGATGAGAATGCCTCAAGGAACAGAGGAATATTGTGTGATCCATCAGTGCTCCACTGAACCCTGGTTGACTCATCCCTTCCCTGTGACCCCTCCTTGGGGGGATATTCCGTTGTATGCAGATGGGCTGTGGGTCTCTGCTCCGACCCCCCTCGTTCTCAACAGTGTGTTTTTGTTTGTTTGTTGTTTGTTATGAATCATCTGATGCCTGTTACCTGGACCCAATGACACCTCATGATCGCACTGCCTGGTGTGCTTTTTCCATGTGGGCTTGTTGTCTCACTGCTGGGTAGCTGCTTGTTTAATTACAAACCTTTAAGACCTCAGACTCTATATCTTTTAATAGCTGGGCATCATCTACTTTCTTTACCACATTTGTTTATGCACCCCTTTGGAGAAAATATAATTTGGAAAAATAATTGATGGCTTCCATAATCACTGTTAAAATGTTTTACTTTTCAGTATCTTGAAATTTCTGAATAGTGCAACTTTCATTTAAAATTGGCAAGAAGTTCAGTCATAATTGTTTATGAGGGAAGTTTGATTTTGTCTTCTTTATTACAGCATGGCTGGTAAGCTAGTATTCTTTCTTAATGAACAAAATACAGGCCTGGAGAAAGTGAGAATATCCAGAAATAATCCAAACTATGTATTATGGTTTATAGCAAATGTCCAATCATCAGTGTAAGACATGAACAAATAATAGTTTATAAATTATCAAGGGTTCGTGAGGGAAGGAGGAGGGTAGGGGAGAGAGGAGAAAAAGTGTGCTGATACCAAGGGCTCAAGTAGAAAGAAAATGTTTTGAAAATGATGGCAACAAATATACAAATGTCCTTAACACAATGGATATATGTATGTATTGTGATAAAGACCTGCTTGAGCCCCCAATAAAATGATTTTTTTTTAAGTCCATTAATAAAAAAAGTACCCATTTCTGAAAATTACATGAAAAAAAACACTATTTGGAAGGAAAGTTTGTCTCCCCCACCCCTTTTAATTGCTTTCAAAAAAAGTTATCGTGTAATTTTTAGGAACTCCCAAATCTGCTCAAAGCAGCAGCGTGTATGCCTGACTCACCCCTAAGCATGTCTTTTGCATGAGTTTCACCCCTAAGCATGTCTTTTGCATGAGTTTCCAGATGCTCTTCTGCAAATTATTGGCCTTTTCCTGTTTCATTCGTGCTTTCCTTCCCATTAGATAAACCGCTTTCGACATATGGCCCAGCACAGTTTACAAACCGCCTTTTCTAATTTTAGCTCATAATATTTAGCAAACTCCTTTATAGTTAAAGTAAATTCCATTTTCTAATTGTCTGGAACTACCAGTTTCTGAGTAAGGACCATCTCCATATTGTTTATATCACCAACACTAGCCTTCTTTGGGGTTATATTCCACAAACAAATAAAATATTTCTACATATTTTTATGAACCATTAAAAACTCTTAGTAGTGAGTGACTCCTGAGCACCACCTGCTACATTACAGCAGTAGATAACAGTAATATGTCATGAAACATCAAAGTACAGATATAGCTTCAAGAACTAGATTATAATAAGACAATAAAAACTTTTGTTCATCAAAGAATTTTACCATCAAAGGAAGGCACAAGCTACAGATTGAGAGAAATTATTTGGGAAATAAAATCTGATCAGGGACAATTATGTAAAATAAGAGTGTAAGTCAAAAGGTATTGCTCAGAAACCTAGAACCCCTTCTGAAACACATGGGTCAAGATGTCAAACTTGTTTCTCAGCATGTCCTTCGTTAGGTGCCTTTCAGAAGGCAGTGTTTTCAGCTCTAACCTTTCCCTAAGGAGCGATTCTGTCTTTCCTTTACATCGCATCAATCTCAGAGGGCTCACAGTATTTTCACTTTAAATGTTCATTGACTTTGGGCAACAACCACAAAAATATGAAGGGGCAAGATTAGGGTTATAGGGTGGATGAGGTAAAGTTTCTTAGTAAAATTCTCTTAGGTCAGCCTCTGCCTACCCTCAAAGAATGAGCAAGCACATTGGTGTGAAAGTGAAAAAATTTGACACAACTTACCTGGCCTTTTTCTTGGAAATGTAGTGTTCGGTTTTCTGAAACATTCTTCATAAGCTCCTGTGATTGTCTTGTGCCTTTCAAGAAAATCTACCAGGATCCCCCTTTGTGTCCCAAAACAAAGGGACTACTTTCTGATCCCCAAATACTTTGTGAGTTGACCTTTTTACCTTGAATTTAATTGTCCAAGCAGATCCCTTTGACATGTGCCACCAAAGTGAGTGTAAAACAGATCCCATTGAAAGTCACTGTTAATCTTGGCACACCAATGAGACTGATAAATATATTATAGAGATCACCTGTCTGCAGGTAACCACTTACCACAGACATATGTTTAATATGTTTTAATTAAAATAAATCCAGGCAGTATATGAACTGGAATCCTGACTCACTCTCAATTTATATTAAAAAAAAAAAAAAAAGCAAATGTCTGCAACTTGACAAAAAGATAAACTCTCAGTCAAAACATAGGAAATGGTCTTAACAGACATACTACCAAAGGAGATATTCAAATGGCCAACAATCATCTGTAAAAATGCTCTGTGTCATTAGCAATTAGGGAAATGCAAATCAAAACAGCAATGAGATAACACTTCACCCACCCATTTAGAATAACAGTGATCAAGAAAGTGGGAAACCATTTTGCTGAGGATGTGATGAAATTAGAACCTTCATCCTCTACTGGTAATAATGTAATATAGTGTAATCATTATAGCAAACAGTTTGGTGGTTCCTGACGGAATTAACCATAAGACTACTAGATGATACAGTAATCCCAAACCTAGATATATACTGAAAAGAAAGCAGAAACTTTCATTGTAGCACTTTTCACAATAATCAAAAGGTGGACACAACTGAAATGCCTGTCACCAGATGAATGCAGAAACAAAAAGTGATATATATGCACAATAGAATATTATTCAGCCATATATTACTCAGCCATAAAGCACAATGAAGTCCACATTCAGGTTTCAACATGAATGAATATTAAAGCATTTTGAATGAAATCAGGTGTAGAAGGACAAATACTGTTAGATCTTGCTTCTCTGAGGTTAGCAAACATAGAAAATGATTGTTAGTGATGGGACAATGGAATAACCTAGAAAACGATCAAGATAATGGTTGCACAAGATAAAAACTGTTAACCCATGTTACTGAATTTCACACGTAGAAGTCGCTGAATTGGTCAGTATTTTACTGTACAGTTTCACTGAAAGAAAAATAATGATAGCCTAAAATTTAAGTGTGAAATTCCATCGAGAATGAATTAAGTTTCTGTGGGAAATAAATTCTTGTCAGGGGCATTTGCATCTCATATACTACTGTTATTAACGTAGCTTAACTGAATACTTTGTATAAAGTATGCTTTATTTTTTCTTAGAAATCAGCAGATGAGCAAAGTATATATGAAAAGGAGAGAATAGCACACGCAAAACAAATCATAAAGCCATTTATTCTCAGAAGAGTAAAAGAAGAGGTAAATTTTATTTGCGGTTTTGGTTGTAATCTTTTGTTGTTTTTCTCTTTTTAGAATTATAATCTAAAACTGTTTTCTTTTCTCAGGTTCTGAAGCAGCTACCTCCCAAAAAAGATCAAATTGAATTGTGTGCAATGTCAGAGAAGCAGGAACAGCTCTATCTGGGTCTTTTCAACAGATTGAAGAAATCTATCAATAATCTAGGTATGATATGATTTCTAGAATTTCGTGTGGAAAAAATCCCTATCTGTATTTGGTTAGAAGACAGTGAGATTTGCTCATTTGAAAAATAAAAATAATTAGAATTTGATATGTTTAAAACATTTTAGTATGAATATAATATAGAAAACAACAGCTTGGTTATTTTTTAAATGTTTCTTCTTTGAATCACAGAAAAAAACACAGAAATGTGCAATGTCATGATGCAACTGAGAAAAATGGCCAATCATCCTTTATTGCACCGCCAGTATTTCACAGCAGAAAAACTCAAGGAAATGTCTCAGCTTATGCTAAAGGTAGGTATTTTATATTATGTTAGCATTCAACAGCTTGAAGGTAAAATTTTTAGGGTAAAAATGAGATGGCGGGGCTTTAATGGACTTATTAATCCTTTAACAACATATTTAAAGCAAAGTTTTTAAAAATGTGGGAGAACAAGCAAGCAAGAACCTAACTGCAAACTTTCACCTCAGGTAAATACACCCACAATTATTTTTTATATGTATTCTTTATATAGTCTGTAACTGTTTGTCCTCCTACAATGTCGACTGGAATAGTTTTAAGAATGACTATACAGTCAACCAAACCTAAAATGTTTGTTTATGACCCTTTACAGAAGAACTTTGCCAGTACGTGAAATAGGCTGCCAGAACGCACATTCTTTATACTCTTAAGTTCTGAGGCATAAGTAGGCAGCAGGTTACACAGGGGGGTACTAATCAGAAAGTCAGCCATTTAAACCCATCAACAGCACCAATGGAGAAGATTGAAGCAGTCTACTTCCATACATTTAAAACGCTGGCAGCTCTATAGGGTTGCTGTGCATTAGAATCAACTTGGTGCAGTGGTTTTTAAGGCAAAAATGAAGTCCGTTCCTCCCTCTCTATCTTTTCACACATCTCTTAAATTTTCTCCTTATTTTTTAGTCCAATTAAGGTTTTGCCTTGTATCCATACCCCTGATGCTTTGCATATGTGAATTCTCCCATCACAGCGGTTGCTCAGGTGATGACTCCTCTGTCTCCCCAGTCTGGAGCCAGGTGGTTCTCTCTTTGATAACCATCAGTGTTTACATTTTGATAACTCAGGAAATGTTTCCCTATTTTCCTGTGATTTTATATCTTCTAGTATACTTTCTTTGAAGATGATAAGGAAAAAACGTGCAATGTCAGGACGCAATTGGAAAATGGCCAATTGTCCCTTTTTTACATCACAAATATTCTTTATTATACTTTGTTTTCATAGTTTGAGACATTACCGTTTATCTCATTCTTCTTCCTTATTTATCCTGATCGCTGAGGTCAAATAACCATAAAAAATTATTTTATGGATTCATGAAATTTCAAACATGTAATCAATAGTAGAATTCTAAAATGAGCCCCTCTGCCCATGCACCCTTCATCTAGTTTAAACAGTTACTATTTGATACAACTGCTATTTAATTTATAACCCCACCCTTCTCCCCAGATTATATTTTAATCTAATTTCTAGGTGTAGTAGTATTTTAGCTATAAATATTTCTGTATGTTACCTCAAAAGATAGGGATTTATTATGTTTTATATAGAAGGAAAAGTAAATAGTTAATTTCCTTGACTAAAATTTTTACACTAAAATATTCTCTGATATAGCTATTTTGCATGTAATTGAGCTCATTATAGCTTGACTTTTTTTTTATTTTAAAGTAATTTTATTTATTTTTAGGAACCTACGCATTGTGAGGCTAACCCTGACCTGATCTTTGAAGATATGGAAGTTATGACAGACTTTGAGCTACATGTACTTTGTAAACAGTATCGACACATTAATAACTTTCAGCTAGACATGGATTTAATTTTAGATTCTGGAAAATTCCGAGTTTTAGGATGCATCTTGTCTGAATTGAAGCAGAAGGTATTAAAGTAGATTGGTACTCTCTTTATATTTTACCAAATAGTTCATTTCTTTATGAATTATTTTAGAAGCAAAGGACATTTTTTTTTCCTGATTCATGCTTGTTTATTCATTTATTTATTTTTAATTTTATTTTTTCTCTTTTTTAACATTTTATTAGGGGCTCATACAACTGTTATCCCAATCCATACACACATCAATTGTGTAAAGCGCATTTGTACATCGTTTCTC